TTCTTCTTCTTCTTCTTCTTCTTCTTCTTCTTCTTCTTCTTCTTCTTCTTCTTCTTCTTTTTTTATATATATCCAGGTCATTACACATCTTTACTAGCTTCATATGGGGCCAACTTCTAATGACAAATGTTTTCCCACAGTAGAGGAAGCCTGTCATGTCTTTATGTTAACAGATTGTTGCATCACGGCCTTGTTTCAGAGTCCAGCTTTTCTCTTTGCCTTCCCGAGTTAGGAAAGGGATGGAAAAAAAAAAAAAAAAAGGTGCAGTGGCCAAGGTTTGATCCCCGCATGCTATGCTGGCCCTGCCCCCTGGATGCACTAAGATGGCAATTGCAACTGGGCATGGTGGGCGTGCACCTATAATCCCAGCTCATGGAAGGCTGAAAACAGGAGAATCACTACAAGTCCAATCTATGTAGTGAGACCCGTAGACCCTGTACTAAATACATTTAAGAAAAAAAAGAGGGGGGATGGAGCTCTGTATAAGCATTGTCCACTGTGGACCACCAACCGTGGCAGATGCTAGCACTGTAGGAACTGAGAAAAGTACATGGAAAATCTTACTGCAGTTTGATGTGCCTGTTGGATGTAATAAAAATATTCATATATAGCCTTTTAACTGTGTTTTTTGAAGTCTACTTGTCTACAAGGGAGGAGAAATAAGAAAATAAACACTGATGTGGTCACAGATTGTTTGAGAAAGGCTGCAGTAGGCCCAGCCCCAGGACAGAGGCTGAGGTTTCCCAAGGTCTCATTGTGTCCTAGGAAGAGGCTTCATTCTTCCTAACTTCCAAACTCAATAGCTTAGGGTTGCTTTTAATGCTTAATTTTGATAAAGCAGATATAACAAAATGTATTACCTTAATTTTTTTAGGAAGTATTAAATCTTTTCACATTGTTTTATAGCTGATCTCCAAAGCTCTTCATATTATAAAACTAAAACTCTATATATCCATTGAACACCAATCCCCAAGCCCATACCTATATACACACAGTTGCTGGCACCCACCACTCTGTTTTCTATATTTGTGATTCTGGCTATTCTAGATATCTTGCATGAGTGGAATCATACAGTATTTGTCTTTTTTTGTGGGTGGCTGATTTTACTTAGCAAAATGCCTTTAAGTTTTATCATTTTGTAATGTGTTAGAATGCCATCCTTTTAATCTGAGCAACTATTTTGAAGATAAAAATATGCAATAGAGTAACCATTGTTAATTTTCTATCTTGTGTTGAAATTCTGTATCATTTTTATTTGTTTTTTTCTTATCTTTAGAAAAAAAAAGAATTTCAATTTTTTTTCAGGGTGATTGATTTTCACTTATGTATGTACCATATTATGAATAATGCTGTTATGAACACAAATGTGCAAATATCCCTTCAAGATTGTGCTTATAGCTAGGCATTGTGGTACACACCTGTAATCCCAGTAATTAGGAGGCTGAGGCAGAAGGATTGCCATTCATTTGAAACTAGCCTATATAGTGAGACCCTGTCTTTAAAAAAAAAACAAAAAAAACCCAACAACAACAACAAAAAAAGATTGTGCTTTTAATTATCTTATGTATATATCATATCCACAAGTGCAATTGCTGGATTGTGGTGATTCTATTTTTAATTTTTTGAGGAATCCCTGTGGTGGTTATGCCGTTTTATATTTCTACCAACACTGTGTGGTAGTACCAATTTTTCTCCATATTCCGGCCTTACTTTTAATAGTAGCTAAATGATGGTTGTGGTGTCATATGTCATTATGGTTTTGTTCTGCATTTCCTTAATTATGAGTGATGTTGGGCCTCTTTTTATGTGTTTGTGGGTACTTTTACTATCTTTGGAGAAATGTCTGTTCAAGTCCTTTGTGCATTTTAAATGCAGTTCTTTTTTTGTTATTGTTGTTATAGGAGTTCTGTATGTATTCTGAATATTAATTCCTTAATAGCTATATAATTAGCATATATTTTCTCCCATCCCATGTTTAGTGTGTTTATTGTGTCCTTTGAAATGAAGTTTTAAGTTCTATTCTAATCCAGTTTATTTGCATTTTCTTTTGTTGGATGTGTTTTGATGTCATCACCAAGAAATTATTGTCAAAGTCAGTATCAAACTTTTTCTCCTAGGAGTTTTGAACTTTTGGTTTTTATGCTTAGAGCTTTATCTCACTTTAATAAGGTAATATTTTATGTGATATAATATAAGGATCCAGCTTCATTCATTGCACATGGATATACAGTTCTGTCAACATCATGAATTAGTAGGAACCTAGTTTCTAAGCTCAGTTGTTCCGTACCTGGCCCATGGAAAGAAAAAATGAATGAAGGGAGGGATGGAGAAATGAAGCAAATGGTGAAAAAAAAAATTGAACATGAATTTATGCCTCGATTATGGCAATTTGAGGAAAAAGACTATGGCAACTTGAAATTGAAGTGTCAGTATTTGACATTTCGTACATGTACTATGGGGATTTTGCCTGCAACATAGTGATTAGTTCAAAAGTGGAATTAAAATAAATGTACTAGAGGTTTATAAGAAGGACCATGATTTTTAGCTATCCCATTTCTAGTCAGTTTGATTTCCCCTAAATTTAAATTTTTGGTAAAGTCGAAAGGAAATTGTTGTGTTCTAATGATTAAACTGACAGTCTAAATTACCCTTATGTAAAACATTCAGTGAATTCTCTGAGCTCCATGCCAGGAAATTAGAAAGACAGTCTCCTTTGAAAACTAATATTTTCCTTTTGTCTTTTATTTTGGCTGTTAGGAAATTCAGTAGTTGTATGCTTACATATCTTTTCATTTCTTGGCTCTTAAGCTTCTATTCATTTGTTTTGTTTACATTTTCTTTACAAATTGACTATTGAGGCACAATTTACATTCACTATGACATAAAATGCATCCATTTCAGGTTTTGAAAAATACATACATTTGTACAGTCACTGCTTCAGTCAAGATTAGAGAACATTTCCATCCCACCAAACATTTTCTTTGGCTGCTTTACAACCATTGCACCTTTTCTATTTGCTATTAAGTGGTTCTGTGGTCCTGTGCCCTTTTGTATTACCTACCGACCTATTATAGATACTTTTGAAAATAGAGTTTTAGAAAGTAACCCATTTTAAAAAAATAAAAAGAAAGTAACCCATTAGATAAAATAACCTTTTTAAGCCCTAAGTTTTCTTCCTGTGGTCTGCCATTAGATTTCATTTTCTTTATATCCAAAAAGCAGCCTTGCAGCTTCTTAGTACTTAAATCTCACTGCAACCAGCATGGATGATCTGGTGTCGTATGAGATATTGCCAGGTAGCCTTAGAAGCATATGCTCCTTTTTTTCCCTTAGAGATTAAATATCTAACTCAACAAATTTTTTTAAAGCCAGACAAATTTGTTGCTAAACAAGTTTCTCTATAACGATGTGGCCTGAATCTTTGCCAGAACATAAATATGTAACAAGCACCACTGGCTTTGTTGCAGCACATTTGAAAGCCAGTGGTCCCGCTTTCTAGTAATTCAACAACTCAGGGCCAGCGAAAGGCTGCAGCTGCTTGTTGAAATGTTAGAGCTATGACCTGTGTGTAGATGTCATGACAGTCTTGAAGTGACACAAGTTTAACCAACTGAATTGTATGTGGGGACAGCTTGTGTTCTAGATAGATGTGTGAGGTAACTAGAGAGACAGGAATTAAGAACAGCTTAATGCATGAGGAATTCTGGAACATGATTCATGTCAGACATCAGAATGAGTTGTGGATGGTTTATTCTTCCCCAGAATGGTAAAGAAGCAGTCAGAAGTAGTATAAAGTTTCAACCCTGCTTCCATTGACAGATAAAAGGAATTCTTATTATTGCCATTTTCTTTACCCTTCTGGAATTACAGTGAATTGAACTCTAAATGAAGTTGTGTGCCAAGATAAGTTGTATATTCTTCAGATATAATGCTGCCTCTTCAGATTGCAATAGTTTTTAGAAAGAAATAGCAGCAGGAGAGAAAAGGAGCATATTGTACCAATTTACATTTTCTTGGCATTATTTTCCATATGAATAGTGTAGAAAGAAATGTCATTGAAGCAGGTACATTTCTGAAACACAGGAGGGTGTCATGAGAAGAGTGCTGGATGTGCTGTGGTACTATTTCAGCAGTGACCCTGTATGACAGTGTATAACCATGTTCAGTAACCTATCCTAAAACATTTGGCATTTTCATGTATTGCTTTGGGCATGGGGATGAAGGGAATGTTTATTTGGTTTGGTTTGGTTTTAGTGGGTTGTGTTAGTTTATATGTTATCCATTACTTTACATTCTCTGATAGGAAAGCTAGCTATTTTAATTGTCCTACTTTATGTACAACAATCACATGTATTTGGATTACTTGAGCCTACAAAGAACTTAGAAAACTATAAATAAGAATTACTTATAGGTTCAACTTGTTCTTCCAAATGATTCCAGTTTACCTAGGTGGAGGTAAAGGGTAGGGCCATTGAATTTGATACATTTGTAATTTATTTAAGGGTAGGATATGTTACATTGTCACAGAGGGAGAACCTTCAAAAGAATCTTTGGCTCCCTTTCTGGACATAATTATTCTTTTCATAGTAAGGAGTTTAGTTATTTATATTTGATAGAAGAGACATGATCAATTCTTCAGATTTATTCCCTCTTGAGGAAAGAAGCAAACCCTAATATAGCAAATACTTGTTGACTAAAACTTTCCTTCTCTTTTTTAACTTTTCTTTTAGGACTCAGCCCAAAACCATGTTTGCCCAAGTTGAATCTGATGACGAGGAAGCAAAGAATGAACCAGAATGGAAAAAACGTAAAATTTGAAGAATCTCATTTGAGAGCTGTTTGCATGAGGGGGAGGGACATGGAGCACTGTTTTTTTTTTTTTTTTTTTTTCTGCTTAATGCTTATAAAATAAAAAAGTGCATTTTTATGACTAGGTTTGTCCTTCCCATTATTGAGCCACTTAAAACATTGATATTCTTTACTGTAACTGTGCTTACACTTTCTTACCTACAAGTATTAAAACTATCACAAGTAAACAAGAAACAGATTCTTAGCCTATTACCAAGTACTTTAGGTATTTGGAAACTTTATTCAACAATTGCTGGTCTTATACAGATTCCCGTAACCTTAGGGAAAAATGTGCATTGAGTCGTACATCTGTTTGCAGCAGTTCTAGGAACACAACATGGAAATAGAGATCAAAAAGCTTAATATTTCTGTATAATGTCACAGCAGTTGTTTACATGACTGTGAATAATGAGGCTGAGTTCACACGAATGCATCTCATACTTGGAAAGAAGAATGTGTATCTGATTATCTTTCAGCAGCAAATGTAGCGGTTAGGAGTTGGTGAAGGAGCAGGATTTGAAGTCTGGCTGATGTGGGTTCAAGTCCTGATGCTGCCCTGTGCTGTCTGAGTCATGTTGGGAGAGTTATCTAGCTTCTTTCTTACAGCCTCAGAAAGACTAAATAAGGTGCTTGTTGTGGAGCACTTAGTATGGTTTTGCGCACAGTAAATGTACCCAAAATATTTGTTATTTTCAAATAAGGCTAATAGTACTTTGCCTGATTTTTATCAGTATTAGGAAAGTATAGAAATGTTTTGTAAATGTAAAGACTATAGAATAGAAGACAATAAAAATTACTCTAAAAGATCTTTTTGTGAGTAGAAAAGGAAACAAAAGCTGGCACTTTGTCCAAAGTAAGAATGAGTCAAGGCTGGGCCTGGTGGCTCAGACCTATAATCCCACTGCCCAAGGAGGGAGGATCTCAGGCTTGAGCCCATATTGGGCAACTCAGCAACTTAGTGAGATTCTGCCCCAAAATAAAATAAAATAGAAATGGGCTGAGGATATAGCTTAGCACAAAGACCCTGGGTTCCTTCTGTGAACTGGCTCATACAGACTAGGGTTAAGTTTTCATGTTAGGTGGTCTCAGGATTTGCCTTCTGCCTCCCTGTTCTCATTTGTTTTGATTAAGTAACTGTAAAAAGGAGTGATGATCCAAAAGGTAGGTCAGAACCCCCTGGATCTATAGGTTGGACCTAGTGCCTTCCCTTCACCCACTTCCTAAGTCTGTAATAACCACTCACACAGCTCTCTTACATCCAGATTCTGAGGTAGCAGTGGGCATTTTCCATCAATGTTTGCTCTTCTCTGTCCTTTCTCCTCACTGCACCTTCAGCCCATTCCTCTTCCGCTGTGACTCACCTGCTAGGTGCCTGCTATATGATCTGTGCTGTTCTAAGCTCTTTGCTTGTATTAGCTGATTTAACCCTCACAAAAACCTGAGTAGGTAAAATTGCTAAACCCACTATACAGATGAGGCAAAAGGGGATTCAACAGTCTGCCTAAAGTCTAAACAGCAGTAACTAGCAAAGTGCCCCAAGTTTCCTACTCCTGTTGAAATACACTTCTTTCAGAATCAATTACAGAGCAATATTTTGTTCCAGCTGCTTAGAATTTATAAATTCATTGCTTTGTGGATAAAATTTACTGAAAGTCTTTCACTTCCCCCAATCTTCACATAAACATTGCACCAGATGGAAGTATTTGTTTGGACAGCCAAAAGTTGCAGTGAAGGATTAGGGAAAGGAGGAATAAAAACTTGATCGCAGTGGTCTTGGCGGAGTCTGCTATGATGTAAGGGTGAAGAAAGGCAAACTTAATACGAGAATAATTCTTTCACTGTTGCCCACAACATAAGTAGGCCTTTTCGTGTTTGAGATGACCTCTCACTATGGAGAGTTTCATAAAGATTTTTTTTTTCCCCAAGAGGATTGGCAACATATATAAGGATATTTCAGTTTTGAACTTAGTGCCATTGCCTTGGTACCATGAAGGTAACCTTTGATTATCAAAGTTTTTAGGTATCTTTATCATGGAGATTTTAAACTTAGTGTTATCTACAAAACGTCTCAAATCTTATACAGCACAATTTGCTTAAGTTCATGGACATTTTTCTGTAGAAAGGATCTCTAGTAGAATGTAGGCTATTGGGAATATCTTATAGCTCTTCTATCTATCAAATAGACTGTTTAAAATTGTGTCATTTATGTGAAAACCAGGATATAATTCTTGCATTCATACACATCTAACAATACCAAACTACATGTAGTGTATTAAATACTATATTGAGCATTCTAGTCTTTAATACACTGGCCCCATTTAATCTTACACAGTCACTCATACTGCTTCAGACCTTAGTAGGTATTCCTTGAAAAATTGCTTGCTTTCTGATCCCTTAAAAGTAAGAGTTCACTTGATGGTCTAAGTGCCTGCCTGGCAGGGGCAAAGACCAACGTTTGATCCCTGGTACCATATATCATGCAGGCCACCAAAACTGGGCATGGTGGTGCACATCTGTAATCCCAGCGCTGGGGAGGCCGAAACATGAGGATCACTGTGAGTCTAAGCTGCTTAGTGAGACCTGTAACAAAGATTTAAAAATAACAAGAGTTCAAGGCCTGGAAGATAGCTCAGCAACATAAGTGCCAGCCTGGCAAGCTCAAGATCCTGAGTTAAATCTGCAGTACCAAAAAAAAAAAAAAAAGTTTTCACCTTCATTATCACATGAAAGTGGCATCCAAGTGTGAACACTTTTTTATGTGATCTTCACAACAAATATGAGAATTGAGTCAGCTTGAGAAAAGTTAGGGATCTATATAACTATCAGGCAGCTGTGAGTCCTTCAACATTTAATAACCTGTGTGTCAGCCAAATGCCTGATTAAAGGTCTGAAGACAGTCTAAGACAATATCCATGCAGAGGTGATGTGCCTTGTTCATTTAGTCTTTCTGTGTGTGTGAGAAGATGAGGAAACAGGAGGGTTATTAACACACACCTTTTGAAAAATATATTGTCTGAAATGGGACAATCGAAAAGTCTAGTGATGGGTACTTAAACTTTATTCCACACACAGGCCAGATCATAGAGAAGTGCCTGAAAGTGTGTGTGTGTGTGTGTGTGTGTGTGTGTGTGTGTGTGTGTGTCTAGGGGTATATAACTGAAGAAGATGCTTTGAAGCAGAGCAGAAAAAAAATTGCTATTCTAAGTATTTTTCAATTTTTCAAAGAATTTATAGTTGGGTTTTTCAGTGTTTTCAAAGTTTTTTCTCAGTAGCATCTTATAAAGTACTTTACATATCCCTACTTGTAAGAATGCTCATTAACAAAAATCTGTTATTACAAATGATAGATTAAAGATTTGGCCACAAATTCTTTGACATTATTCCCAGCTCCATGGTGGTTCAATCAATAGAACACTCAGAAATGGTGGCATGCTATTTACTAAGTCTCAGCCTTAAGAGATTTGCACTTCCTTTCTCTCGGGATATTTTAATCTGGAAACAGCTGCCATGTTGCAAGGAAGCACAAGCAGCCACGTGAAGAAGAAGTAAGTTCACCTGGCTAACAATTCCAACTAAGCTTCTCTCAGCTTACAGAACAAGCATGCCATTGAGCTACTTTGGGAAACAGCCCCTTTCTTCCAATTGAGTCACATCAGCTGTTGCCAAATGAAGGCAAGTAAGCCAGTCCTTGTGAGAAACATAAATGATCATTGTCATTTAAAGCAACTAAATTGTTCTTTTTATTGTGATACATATATAACTGGAACTTTTAGAGATTTAAAAAAAGTCATCCAACCATTCAAGTACAAATGGGTAATATTTTGTTGAATTGTCTTTGAATGTTTTCCTTTTATGTAGAGTTTCAAGATTTAGTTTATCCTTTTCTTAAAATATAGTTAATATTATTATAATATTTATGAACAACAGTATTTTTCACTTGCTAAAGAAGCATATTTTTTTTCATTCGCCTATAAACCGCATATAATTTTAGTGTCTATTTAGTAGGTAGTTCATGATGTACATGTATTATCCATATTTAATCATTCCTCCATTGCTGGAAATGCAGATTTTTTTTTCCCCCAAGTTGGTAGTATACACACAATGCTACTTTGAGCAGCTCTGTTGCTGAAGTTTCTTTTTGTGGTATGTTAGAGTTAGTCAGGCAGGTACTTATTCTACTGAGCTATCTCCCTGGCTGGTAGAGTTATTGTCTTAGTGTTGATTACCAATGGAATTATGGAGGACCAAAAAGAATGACTCATATTTGAAAGTTAGAATCATTGTAATTTTAGTAGATACTTTATCAGTGGATGCCCAATTGAATAGGACAGAGATGGTGCTGGGTAGTATTGCTAATACAGTATGCTGAACCATGTCTTCTTCCCACAAATACATTTCCACCCCAAACCTCAAAATGATTGTATTTGCAGATATTATTTAAATTAAAATACCAGATTATAGAGGGCCCTAACTACAATGGATGGTATCATTGTAAGAATCCTATGTGAAGACAAAGATACATAGAGACACCCAGGGGAAAGGACTGAAATGAAAGCAGAATGAGGAGCAGATATAGCTACAAGCCAAAGAACTTCCAGAATGATCAGCAGCCACCAGAAACAAGAAAGAGGCAACAAGCATTTTTTTCCCATTGGGAGCAGGGTCCTGCCAAAATCTTGATTTTAGACATCTAGCTCAAGAAATCCAAGAGAATAAATTTCTGGGTTTTTGTTTTGTTTTGTTTTTGTTTTTGTGGAACCGGGAATTGAACTCAGGCTCTTGCACTTGCCAGGGAAGCGCTTATTCCACTGAGCCATCTCCCCGGCCCTAAATTTCTGTTTTTTAAGCCATATAGTTTGTGATTTCTTAAGAAAGTTCTAAAAAATTAACACTTAACACCAAGATATAAAGAACACTTGAACCCTGGCAGGGCTTCTCAAGGCTACCTATCGCCATAGTTCACCAAGGACTTAGAAAAAGAAAATAAAACTGTCAATGTCCAACATCAAAGTTCTGAATTCTCTTTCCTATGCCTTCATGCATTTAGTTAT